CCCTGTAGAATCACCAAATCAGCCTTCTGATCTCCACAAATACCTCCCCACACCATGACATCTCACCCGCCAAATGGATGGACCTCTCGAATACACGCCGGAGCCAAACGTTCCCCTCTGCGCTGATAAACTCGTTCTCTGCCGTCATTTCGAAACAAGTTAAACCGACTTTCATCAGTAAACAGCACTCAACGCCAATTTCTCACCTGCCTCATGCATCGCAGTCTCAGGCGTCGATGTTGAGCAGTCAGTACCATTCCTCGGAAAGGACTATACACTTGGATTCCAGCAGCACGAAGTCGTCATAGTACTGTATGTTGGCTAATGGGATGTCCCAACGCTGTTGCTGCTGTTGCGGTCCCCGTTACGAATCTGTTCCACAGGTAAATGAGCCGTACATCTACTGCAAAAAGAGAAATCACTATAAATCCTGCTGTAGAAAAAATAAATCTGATTTGTATAAATTTAGGCTAAAAAACCTGAGTGATACTATCCATTCTCTCTCTTAACATTTTATGAAAGTTTTTCAAATGACACGTTTACAACTCTGACAGTGATGTGTTTGACGATATTATTGATGTTTATTTTAGAATCACCCATATCACAGGATGAAATTCTGGACGCTATAATACACCTTAAAAGTGGAAAAGCCATATAGGGCGGACATGTAGGGCTGACATGTATGGCTGACATGTAGGGCTCCCGTGTATGGCTGACATGTAGGGCTGACATGTAGAGCTCCCATATAGGGCTGACATGTAGAGCTCCCATGTAGGGCTGACATGTAGGGCTGACAGGTAGAGTTCCCATGTAGGGCTGACATGTAGGGCTGACAGGTAGAGCTCCCATATATGGCTGACATGTAGGGCTCCCATGTGGGGCTCTCATGTAGGGCTCCCATGTAGGGCTGACAGGTAGAGCTCCCATGAAGGGCTGACATGTAGGGCTGACATGTAGGGCTGACAGGTAGGGCTCCCATGTACGGCTGACATGTGGGGCTGACAAGTAGGGCTCCCATGTACGGCTGACATGTACGACTGACATATAGGGCTCCCATGTAGGGCTGACAGGTATAGCTGGCAGGTAGAGCTCCCATGTAGGGCTGACAGGTAGAGCTCCCATGTAGGGCTGACAGGTAGAGCTATCATGTAGGGCTGACATGTAGGGCTGACAGGTAGAGCTCCCATATATGGCTGACATGTAGGGCTATCATGTAGGGCTGACATGTAGGGCTGACAGGTAGAGCTCCCATATGTGGCTGACATGTAGGGCTGACAGGTAGAGCTGACAGGTAGAGCTCCCATATAGGGCTGACATGTAGGGCTGACAGGTAGAGCTCCCATGTAGGGCTCCCATGTAGGGCTGACATGTACGGCTGACATGTAGGGCTGACATGTAGGGCTCCCATGTACGGCTGACATGTAGGGCTCCCATGTATGGGTTGACAGGTATAGCTGGCAGGTAGAGCTCCCATATAGGGCTGACAGGTAGAGCTACCATGTAGGGCTAACAGGTAGAGCTCCCATATAGGGCTGACATGTACGGCTGACATGTAGGGCTGACAGGTATAGCTCCCATGTAGGGCTGACAGGTAGAGCTCCCATGTAGGGCTGACAGGTAGATCTACGATTTTGGGGTCCCATGTTGGGCTGACAGGTAGAGATCCCATGTAGGGCTGACAGGTAGAGCTACCATGTAGGGCTGACAGGTAGAGCTCCCATATAGGGCTGACATGTACGGCTGACATGTAGGGCTGACAGGTAGAGCTCCCATATAGGGCTGACAGGTAGAGCTCCCATATAGGGCTGACATGTACGGCTGACTTGTAGGGCTGACAGGTATAGCTCCCATATAGGGCTGACAGGTAGATATGTAGTTTAATATGTTGTTCAGATATTAGACAGTCTTTTGTTCGCTCACAGTTTCCGTAAAGCTTCTAAATAAAAAAAATCGTCGCACAGTACTTTTATCGGTGTACGATAAAAAGCGGAGATATTTACTGTTTTTCCATGCAGAATAAATTCTCGGACAACACTTAGAAGTGTCTTTTTTTAAAACAGATTTAATATTTGCATTTAAATTTACACCATCAAATAGGAAATTTAATATTCTCCACCTCTGCATAATTTTATAGCCAGAGGTAGATCCAGTGCCGCGTGAGCGCAATTCTCGCACAACCTTCACTTTTCCGATCTCAGGAAAATGTGCGCCAGAAAAAAAACTTGGCATCAAGAGGGTTAAAGGAATGATAAGTAATATTTACAATATACATAATGCAGTCATCGACATCACAGTATTACAAACCGTTTTACATTACAAGAACATCTTATTCATACATTAGTTGTTATACTGTAAAATAATCTGCTAATTGATGTAAGAACCAAATAGAATAATTATTCATATATTATATTATATAAGTGTATAGCGATTACAAATCTCAATACAATACATACATATACATGACTTTACGGGTGTGACACACTTATGTGTTACACAAATATAGAAACTGACTATACAAGTTAGTATGCGCCTACCCTGTGGGTGAGACAGGGGTGTCTTCCCGATAAAGTGCAGCAACTTTATAATTCCGGATATCTGAATAAAACATATACTTTTATAACAATGACTAATACAACTATACTATTTACATACACTTTAAAATATTACTCCGGATCCCGTATTGCACAGACTGTATATCATACAGAACTGATCACAAACGCATTTAAAACATAGTCTATTCAGAAAAACAACACATATACACTCTTCCTTATAAATTTACATACAAGAATAAAGAGACAGAAAAGTGATATATTAGTAATTACCAAAGCTTACAATTTATAAGTCTTGTTTACCACATTTACTTAAATAGATTGTAACTGAAAATATGATAATATTAAACACGTTTATTTAAGTTTAGTATTATAGGTTTAATATACTGCAACATTTAACTGCAATAACAACAATACAAGTAATCACACATATTATACAAACCTGATTTTGGATGATTTTACTTGTCAACTTGTCTGTGTGGGGCTCCCATGTGTGCTTACAACATGAAGGCTTACAACATGAAGGACACATTAACTACATTTAATCTGTCCTAACTAATGGTTAAACATAAAAGTTGAACACTTAAAAGCAGACACTGAAGGTGAATAAAATAAATATGTACAATGTTGTATCTGTCACACACGTACATATGTTCACTCAATGCTTACTCAGTATTACCTGATGAAGGGTTAAACAGTCGCCCTGAAACATTACACAGAATATAGAAGTTGTTATCCATAAAATGTTACATGTCTTCATAACCTTTCAACTACTAAATGTCTATGAAACACTTGTCTCAATACTGACTCTTTACTTGGACTAGTGTGAGTAACTGATGGCTGATGGAGTGTGTTGCTCATTATTGGATGATTATCTGCGTCAGAGATTTGTTGCATTTGTTGCACTGGTCTATTTCAGACACATCCTCTGTATCTCCAGGGCTGGCATTTTGCTAAACCCGCACTAACCCCTGCCTCCATGATTATCCTGAACTCAAATTACCCGCCCTTGATTTCCATCAGCCAATTTGATTTTCTACGCTACTCAGTCTAACAGACCAATCATAATGCGAGTTACAAACCAGCCTCAATGTTGGGTTGTCATTATCACAACATGGCGGCCAGTCCCATTGATGATGGTGGAGTTTGTAAGAATTTCCAACACTGACAAACTGACTGACACCAACAAGGCCCTAAAAATCCTTTTAATAGAAAGGATGTCTTCATGTCTATAAAGCAAGTCCTCCCTTAACCAGTTCCTGCTTCATTGTCTCCAGGAATGATTGGTCGGTAAAATGTTAGTAAAATCAAGGGTGGATAACTTGAGATCGCGAGAGCCATGGGAATGGACCCAGGGGGTTGTGTAGGTTTATCAAATTGCAAGCCCTGGAGATATAGACGATGTTTCAGGTATGAAAAGAAATGATTATTTATTGTTTCAGAACTGTTTCTGTTGAGTTATGTTGCAATCTTCCTGTTACAGAAAGAGTTATATTGCAATGTTCCTGTTACAGAAAGAGTTGTATTGCAATGTTCCTGTTACAGAATGAGTTATATTGCAATGTTCCTGTTACAGGGGTTGTATTGCAATGTTCCTGTTACAGGAGTTGTATTGCAATGTTCCTTTTACAGAAGGAGTTGTATTGCAATGTTCCTGTTACAGAAAGAGTTATGTTGCAATGTTCCTGTTACAGGGGTTGTATTGCAATGTTCCTGTTACAGAAAGAGTTATGTTGCAATGTTCCTGTTACAGGGGTTGTATTGCAATGTTCCTGTTACAGGAGTTGTATTGCAATGTTCCTTTTACAGAAGGAGTTGTATTGCAATGTTCCTGTTACAGAAAGAGTTGTATTGCAATGTTCCTGTTACAGAATGAGTTATATTGCAATGTTCCTGTTACAGGAGTTGTATTGCAATGTTCCTGTTACAGGAGTTATGTTGCAATGTTCCTGTTACAGAATGAGTTATATTGCAATGTTCCTGTTACAGAAAGAGTTATATTGCAATGTTCCTGTTACAGAATGAGTTGTATTGCAATGTTCCTGTTACAGAAAGAGTTGTATTGCAATGTTCCTGTTACAGAAAGAGTTGTATTGCAATGTTCCTGTTACAGAAAGAGTTGTATTGCAATGTTCCTGTTACAGAATGAGTTATGTTGCAATGTTCCTGTTACAGAAGGGGTTGTATTGCAATGTTCCTGTTACAGAAAGAGTTGTATTGCAATGTTCCTGTTACAGGAGTTATATTGCAATGTTCCTGTTACAGAAGGACTTATGTTGCAATGTTCCTGTTACAGAATGAGTTATATTGCAATGTTCCTGTTACAGAATGAGTTGTATTGCGATGTTCCTGTTACAGAAGGACTTATGTTGCAATGTTCCTGTTACAGAAGGACTTATGTTGGAATGTTCCTGTTACAGAAAGAGTTGTATTGCAATGTTCCTGTTTCAGATATCTCCATTATGGGGAAGGAATACGTTGAAACGGGGGAGGACATCCGACTCGTCTGTAATGCTACAGGTGGACCTCACATTCCAGAGGAAATAGACTGGTTCAAAGATGGAGATAAAATTGACACTAAAAAGTACAGGAATATTTTAATTACAAAATATAGGTCATTACATGACCGCTCCATGGTCAGTGAGCTGATCATTGACCGAAGCACCCTCCGAGATTCTGGGACTTATATATGCAGGAGTTCTTCTGATGAGATTGATAGTAAACGAGTTACAGTGTTATTTGGTGAGTACTACATTGGCTGTGTGTGAATGTTGGCAGCGTACCGGCCACAGGTGTGTATACCTTGTCAACTACTTGCAGAGTACTGTTGGATGTAAAAAACATATTGATTAAATGTGTTATTGAATTTGAAAATGGAGTATAGCCATGAATGAAGCAGACAAACTGATTGCTTGTTCACTGGAATAGTTGCCTCGTTTTTCCAAAAAGACATATTTTGTTTTCAGTGATGATTTTATGATCAGGAGCAAGTCTAAATTTTAACACCAAATTTGGGCAGGGTGTTCATTTGATCATATTCTTAACTCACTACAAAGATTTGATTTGTTATGGCCTTACATTGATTGTGCCTGAACTGTGATCAGTTGAAGCCTACAGCATCCTCTAATCCTGTACCACTGTTTGTTTCAGGAGATTCCCCAAGATGGGAGAGAGGTAGGATTCCTTCACCATTATCATGACACAAAGTTATCACTATCTGGAATGTACTGGCTTTGTTTCGGTGTTGTGTGTGTTGAGAGTGGCACCAGGGTGCATGTGTACTGACACAATGTTGGTCTGCCTGCACTTGTAGTACCAGTGTTGTCATGTAGGAGTCAAGACCTGTTCCATAAAGTGATCTTAGAGCCAAGACGATAAGAGCCTGTACTTTAGTTCATGCAGCACTGAGATCACCATGTGGAATGAGGGCCCAGTATTAGGAGGTTCTGTCAGTGGCATGCAACATTGAACATAGTTTTCCAGCTGAGACTGTTAAATCTATACAGCGATGTCATAGATTAGTATGGAGTGTTTGTATCGCAGAAGTGTGTTATTGAGTTTCATATTGCCGCCATTACACAGACCAATCTTACTGCCTCTCACCGTACATACCAGTTTAAATAAATGTGCTAAGAGTTTTCTGCCCTTGTTTTGAGGATTCCATGGTTACAACAGTACTCACTGTTTCAATATTTTTGAAAATGTCTCCAAGGGATAATGATCTTTTGATAAAAAAATAATCATTTATTTTACAGAGCCACAAAATGAGGAGGGTAATGATAACACATTATTTCATTCTCCTCAGAAAGATCTGTCTCCCTTCCAGCTTGCTCATTTATTTGCTGTCCTCTGCACACTCTGCCTGTCTAACACCCATCAGTGTTACCATGACACCCTCCAGTGTTACCATGACACCTTCCAGTGTTACCATAACATCCACCAGTGTTACCCGACACCCTCCAGTTTTACCATGACAATGTCCAGTGTTACTATGACACCCACCAGTGTTACCATGACACCCTCCAGTGTTACCTTGACAATGTCCAGTGTTACCATGACACCCACCAGTGTTACCATGACACCTTCCATAGTAACCATAACATCCACCAGTGTTACCATGACACCCTCCAGTGTTACCATGACAACGTCCAGTGTTGCCATCTGTCACATCACAGAACACACTGTCAGCATCTTACATGAACAGTAGCATTGCTAACAGTGGAGCTGATCTAGCTGTGACGTAAAATACATGTTTATTAATGAGCAGGATGTTTTGGTTCTGGTACAGTTTTAGTTTAACATTTCCATCTAAGTTGAAGTTGTGACTGCATATTGTCTTGGAATGATGATGACAACATGTCTCAGTTACCACTAGTTAGCAATAAATGGCCCTGTATTGACACTCTATAAACCGAAAACAACTGAATCAGAAAGAAAATGTTTCTTTTATCTTTTTATTTCAGCGTCCTCTCTCCCTGTGTCAGTGTCCTCTTGCCCTGTGTCAATGACCTCTCTCAATGTCAATGTCCTCTCTCCCTCTGTCAATGTCCTCTTGCCATCTGTCAATGTCCTCTCTCCCTGTGTCAATGTCCTCTCTGTGTGTGTCAGTGTCCTCTCTCCCTGTGTCAGTGTCCTCTCTCCCCGTGTCAATGTCCTCTCTCCCTCTGTCAATGTCCTCTTCCCCGGGGCAGTGTCCTCTCTCCCTCTGTCAATGTCCTCTTCCCCGGGGCAGTGTCCTCTCTCCCTGTGTCAATGTCCTCTCTCCCTGTGTCAATGTCCTCTCTGTGTGTGTCAGTGTCCTCTCTCCCTGTGTCAATGTCCTCTCTGTGTGTGTCAGTGTCCTCTCTCCCTGTGTCAGTGTCCTCTCTCCCTGTGTCAATGTCCTCTCTCCCTGTGTCAGTGTCCTCTCTCCCTGTGTCAGTGTCCTCTCTCCCTGTGTCAATGTCCTCTCTCCCTCTGTCAATGTCCTCTTGCCCTGTGTCAGTGTCCTCTCTCCCTCTGTCAATGTCCTCTTGCCCTGTGTCAATGACCTCTCTTACCTGTCAATGTCCTCTCTCCCTCTGTCAATGTCCTCTCTCCCTGTGTCAATGTCCTCTCTCCCTTTGTCAATGTCCTCTTGCCCTGTGTCAATGTCCTTTCTCCCTGTGTCCGTGTCCTCTCTCCCTGTGTCAATGTCCTCACTCCCTGTGTCAATGTCCTCTCTCCTTATGTCAGTGTCCTCTCTCTCTGTTTCAATGTCCTTTCAACCTGTGTCAGTATCCTCTCTCCCTGTTTCAGTGACCTCATGCCCTGAGTCAATGTCCTCTCTGTGTGTGTCTGTGACCTCTCTCCCTGTGTCAGTGTCCTCTCTCCCTGTGTCTATGTCCTCTTGCCCTGTGTCAATGTCCTCTCTCCCTGTGTCAATGTCCTCTTGCCCTGTGTCAGTGTTCTTACTCCTTGTGTCAGTGTCCTCTCTCCCTGTGTCAATGTCCTCTCTCCCTGTGTCAGTGTCCTCTCTCCCTGTGTCAATGTCCTCTCTCCCTTTGTCAATGTCCTCTCTCTCTGTGTCAGTGTCCTCTCTCCTTGTGTCAATGTCCTCTCACCCTGTATCAATGTCCTCTCTCTCTTTGTCAATGTCCTCTCTCTGTGTGTCAGTGTCCTCTCTCCCTGTGTCAATGTCCTCTCTCCCTTTGTCAATGTCCTCTCTCTGTGTGTCAGTGTCCTCTCACTGTGTCAATGTCCTCTCGGCCTGTGTCAGTGTCCTCTCAGCCTGTGTCAATGTCCTTTTGCCCTGTATCAATGTCCTCTCGGCCTGTGTCAATGTCCTCTTGCCCTGTGTCAATGTCCTCTCTCCCTGTGTCAGTGTCCTCTCTCCCTGTGTCAATGTCCTCTCTCCCTGTGTGAGTGTCCTCTCTCCCTGTGTCTATGTCCTCTCTCCCTGTGTCAATGTCCTCTTGCCCTGTGTCAATGTCCTCTCTCCCTGTGTCAGTTTCCTCTCTCCCTGTGTCAATGTCCTCTTGCCTCGTGTCAATGTCTTCTCTCCCTGTGTCAGTGTCCTCTTGCCCTGTGTCAATGTCCTCTCTCCCTGTGTCAATGTCCTCTCTCCCTTTGTGAATGTCCTCTCTCTTGGTGTCAGTGTCCTCTCACCCTGTGTCAGTGTCCTCTCACTGTGTCAATGTCCTCTCAGCCTGTGTCAGTGTCCTCTCAGCCTGTGTCAATGTCCTTTTGCCCTGTATCAATGTCCTCTCGGCCTGTGTCAATGTCCTCTCTGTGTGTGTCAATGTCCTCTCTCCCTGTGTCAGTGTCCTCTCTCCCTAGGTCAATGTCCTCTCTCCCTGTGTGAGTGTCCTCTCTCCCTGTGTCAGTGTCCTCTCTCCCTGTGTCAATGTCCTCTTGCCCTGTGTCAATGTCCTCTCTCCCTGTGTCAGTGTCCTCTCTCCCTGTGTCAATGTCCTCTTGCCTCGTGTCAATGTCTTCCCTCCCTGTGTCAGTGTCCTCTTGCCCTGTGTCAATGTCCTCTCAACCTGTGTCAATGTCCTCTCTCCCTGTGTCAATGTCCTCTCTCCCTGTGTCAGTGTCCTCTCTTCCCGTGTCAGTGTCCTCTCTCCCTGTGTCAGTGTCCTCTCTCCCTGTGTCAATGTCCTCACTCCCTGTGTCAGTGTCCTCTCTTCCTGTGTCAGTGTCCTCTCTCCCTGTGTCAGTGTCCTCTCTCCCTGTGTCAGTGTCCTCTCTCCCTGTGTCAGTGTCCTCTCTCCCTGTGTCAATGTCCTCACTCCCTGTGTCAGTGTCCTCTCTTCCTGTGTCAGTGTCCTCTCTCCCTGTGTCAGTGTCCTCTCTCCCTGTGTCAATGTCCTCTCTCCCTGTATCAATGTCCTCTCTCCCTGTGTCAGTGTCCTCTCTTCCTGTGTCAGTGTCCTCTCTCCCTGTGTCAGTGTCCTCTCTCCCTGTGTCAATGTCCTCACTCCCTGTGTCAGTGTCCTCTCTCTGTGTGTCAGTGTCCTCTCTCCCTCATTAGTCTGTGTTCAGCTATCTTTTAATGTCGATCCTGTTCCACATGCTGTGCCTTAGTATTTGACTGTATGAATCTCTGAAATGGGTCTTTATCTTTCATCATTGATATTGGTTAAATTTTGTTAAATTTTGTATGTTTAAGAAATAACTATGTGATCCGATACATAATGAACTCTAGCTACAAAGGTCACACTGACCCAGAACCATGTGAAGCTGATCTGATACATAATGAACTCTAGCTACAAAGGTCACACTGACCCAGAACCATGTGTTGCTGATCTGATACATAATGAACTCTAGCAACAAAGGTCACACTGACCCAGAACCATGTGAAGCTGATCTGATACATTATGAACTCTGGCTACAAAGGTCACACTGACGCAGAACCATGTGCAGCTGATCTGAAATGTGATGAAGTCTAGCTACAAAGGTCACACTGACCCAGAACCCTGTACAGCTGATCGGATACATTATGACTTCTGGCTACAAAGGTCACACTGACCCAGAACCCTGTACAGCTGATCGGATACATTATGACTTCTGGCTACAAAGGTCACACTGACCCAGAACCCTGTACAGCTGATCGGATACATTATGACTTCTGGCTACAAAGGTCACACTGACCCAGAACCCTGTACAGCTGATCGGATACATTATGACTTCTGGCTACAAAGGTCACACTGACCCAGAACCCTGTACAGCTGATCTGATACATTATGACTTCTGGCTACAAAGGTCACTCTGACCCAGAACCCTGTACAGCTGATCGGATACATAATGACTTCTGGCTACAAAGGTCACTCTGACCCAGAACCCTGTTCAGCTGATCTGATACATTATGGCTTCTGGCTACAAAGGTCACTCTGACCCAGAACCCTGTTCAGCTGATCGGATACATTATGACTTCTGGCTACAAAGGTCACTCTGACCCAGAACCCTGTACAGCTGATCGGATACATTATGGCTTCTGGCTACAAAGGTCACTCTGACCCAGAACCCTGTTCAGCTGATCGGATACATTATGACTTCTGGCTACAAAGGTCACTCTGACCCAGAACCCTGTACAGCTGATCGGATACATAATGACTTCTGGCTACAAAGGTCACTCTGACCCAGAACCGGGGCGGTCGGGTAGCCTAGTGGTTAAAGCGTTCGCTCGTCACGCTGAAGACCCAGGTTCGATTCCCGACATGGGTACAATGTGTGAAGCCCATTTCTGGTGTCCCCCGCCGTGATATTGCTGGAATATTGCTAAAAGCGGCGTAAAACCATACTCACTCACTGACCCAGAACCCTGTACAGCTGATCGGATACATTATGACTTCTGGCTACAAAGGTCACTCTGACCCAGAACCTTGTACAGCTGATTGGATACATAATGACTTCTAGCGACAAAGGTCACTCTCACACAGAACCCTGTACAGCTGATTGGATACATAATGACCTCTGGCTACATAGGTCACACTGACAAAGAATCTTGTACAGCTGATCTGATACATTATGACCTCTGGCTACAAAGGTCAGACTGAAGACACTATTTAGTGTCTGTAATTATGCAGTTTAACAGTGAGAAACAAATCAGCTATGATTTCATGTAACAGACCCTCCATTAGAGAGTGAGTGAGTGAGTGAGTTTGGTTTTACGCCGCTTTTAGCAATATTCCAGCAATATCATGACGGGGGACACCAGAAATGGGCTTCACACATTGTACCCATGTCGGGAATCAAACCCGGGTCTTTGGCGTGACGAGCGAACGCTTTAACCACTAGGCTACCCGACCGT